CTGTGTCGGTGACAATTGAGAGTCCCTGCTTAAGCTTGAATAAATGACCCTCGTGTGCTTACATCGGAAACGGCCTCCTGGTGGTCTTTGGGACTTCATAATCTGGGCACAACAATTACCACTTTATTTATCAGTTTTCATTTCAGGTAACATTTGACAGTTGTTCTGAATTCAACCCTAAAGGGCAAGGAGTTTTTGGAGGAAATTCCAAGGCTATGTCTATGAATATCATCAAGAAAATTTACTATAAGATATCATCTTCTTGGATGTATTATTTCTGAGAAAATTTTAGCCAGTCACATATGACACTAAAGGTTCTTTCTTCTATAAGTAGCATTGTGACTTTTGTTTTCACTGTCGCTTTTAAATTGCTCAATGGTATGGCTGTCCAGTGTAAGTGGGCTTAGGATTAGAAGCAAGGGCTTTGTTTCAAAATCTTGTGGAAGTACAAAGACCCTCCAGGGTTTATTTTATAGTTGTTAACTTATTTTCTAAACTAACAACTTACTCCTAAAAGTGTGCAACCTGGGCAAGGTGGCACATGCCTGTAATCCCAGCACTCAGGAAGCCTGAAGGAGGAGAATCACAAGTTTGTTGGAGCCCAGCCTGGGCAATTTAGTGACTTAGTGAGACTCTGTTTCAAAATATGAAGTAAAAAAGGGCTGAGGATGTATCTCAGTGCAAAGCCCCTAGGTACAATGCCCAGCATTAAAAGAAAAAAAACTGATTCTGCATGTTTCTATCATATTGCTTGAGCTTAAATGAGGTCTGTCACGGAAATGCTCCTGGTTCTTAACCAATAGTAACAGAACAGCACTTTAGAAAAATTAGTCTGCAATAGTGTGCAATAGAGGGCAGTAGTGGGCAGGAATGAACAAAACAAAGGTGGGAGGCTATTTCATCACTCAGGCCAAAAAGGATGGTGATGAAGGACTTAAAAAACAGAATCCATGGCCCTCCATTGCCTGCCCTCACAAATTCTCATTCACACATTCAATTCAAACTCTGATCTGTTTACTTAACTGTTTGACATATGTCATGCTCCTTCTCCCTCTGCCCATTACATCTGCTCATCCATATTCTACACATCTTTCAAATTCTGTTCATAGCTTTGTACCTTCTTTACAAACCTTTCACTGATTGGCTATTACAATCTACAATAATCTGTACTCTTTGCTGAATTCTTAGCATGGAACCGTTCCTTAAAGATATGTCTCTCTTCTTGAGACCTACATGTATTTAAAAATACCTATGCTTCACTTTTCATTTTGGCAAGCCACTCAAATCATTTTTCCCAGCAGGTTTCAAGAAAATGATCGACTCTAGTAGAATTTTCATTGATTGAGATGCAACGGCCATCTAGTGGCAAGAAGGGGAAATGCATGCTTCATTCCTGGTTCACAGTAAAGTTGGCTGACGCTCATAACAACTTTTATTTGTCTTTTCTGTTGTTAGAGTTCTTTCTGATGCTATTTCTGGAACACAAAGTACATTGTAATAAAAAACAATTGTTTGTGTAAATGGCTTTGTCTTGCTTTCTAATTATTCTACCTATCTACATTCTAATTGATTGAGCATCTGTCAATATTGTGTTCACAGTGCTGGGGCCTAGCACGTTAAGTCCAAGTTTTATGTGATTCAACTTATCTATGAAGGCAGCATTCTCAAAGAATCGCATGGAAAACTAGTCTTTAAAAGAATAAAAGGCAAGTCAGGTGTGGTAGTGCATGCCTGTAATCCCAGCACTCTGGGGGGCTGAGGTAGAGGGATTATAAACGAACTCATCCTGAGAAACATAGAAACTTAGCAAAACATAGAGTCTTAAGCAGCAACAACAATAACAACAAAAGGCTGGGGAATCCAGATCAATGTGAAAGCCCTGGGTCCAGTGGTCAGTGCCTGGAAAAAAATATCCTACCACCTCCATAGCAAAAATAGCAAGTATTCACATAAGCTTACTTTGTATCAGGCACTATTCTAAGCCTGGCACATACTGAATTCTCATAATAATAGTAGCTACTTGAAAGTTAACTCTTTTGCATTACCCATTTTAAAGACAAGTGACCTGAAGCACAGGGAAACTTGTCCAAAGTCATAGGTTAGCAGACTAGAGTATTTGAAATAACCAGTCTGGCTCCTAACTCTATGTCAGGAAGGCCTCCTCACCACAGTGAACCCCATGTCCCTGTCTTAGAGAAGACACTTGGCACTTTCTCACTTTCTTACACTGCTCTTAGAATTTCCTTGCTTGGGTGACTGGTGAATTGTAATTCACCAGCAGACCACATGAGGCATTTTGCAGCACTGCAAAATAATGATGATAATAATAATAATATCGAAGATGAGATAGCTGAGTGTGTCTGGAGATGTTTCTGCATCTTCTAAACTGTTCCACTGGTCCTCAGGTCTGTTTCTTTGTCAGTACCATGCTGTTTTTATCACAGTAGCTTTGTAGTATAGTTTCAAGTTGGGGGTTGTGATACCCCCTGCCATGTCTCTGTT